ATTTTGTCTTTTCAATTAAATTTCACTTCAAATTAAATCCCAGATGTTACCTCCAGATAGTTACTCGTATAGCTACTCTTAATTTAATTGTTGTTTACCCAAATACTGTGTTACTGTTGCTTACTTTTAACTAACTACTAGGGGTGGGCAATATCGAGATATTTTAAACATATCGAGATATTTTTAAAACTCGATATGGATTTTGACATATCGTATATATCGATGTAATGCTTATATTCAATTTTGATTGCGCCGCTTCGCTTGTTTGCCTTCTCTGTGCGCGCCCCCGCCTCCCTGATTTTGCTGCTCGTGTCTCTTTCACTCCTCACTATCGCCGTGACTGCCGAAAGTTGGTGCCAGTGAAAAGCTTCAAGAACCACAAAACTTTTCCACTATTTACAGACAAAACCATCAGCAACACATCCTCATATTCCACCGAGTCGTGTCCTTTAGTCCGGAAGACGCTGAGCAGCATGAGCGGCAGAAGGAGCGCGCTGTTTATGCAAATGAGCCATGCGCTTTTAAGTTTTGTTTCTGTTCGTTTCTAAAACCTAAACAAGTCTGCGCAAAGCTGCATTAAACACATTATGATCTCAAACGGGCTGATGTGGCTCTAGAGTCGTTTTGCTTTATGTCTTGTAAAGTTTAGTAATGTAAAGTTTTTTTATGCAGAAGATTTTAATGAATAATCTGCTGCAGTGTAACTTGTACAAAAGTGTTTGGAAACATTGGGTTTGATCTGCAGTGGATTGTGGGCATGAGCGGCAGAAGGAGCGCGCTGTTTATGCAAATGAGTCATGCGCTTTTAAGTTTTGTTTCTGTTCGTTTCTAAAACATATACAAATCTGCACACATTATAATCTCAAACGGGCTGATGTGGCTTGTAGTCGTTTTGCTTTATATATTGTAAAGTTTAGTAATGTAAAGTCTATTTATGCAGAAGATTTTAATTAATAATCTGTTGCAGTGTAACTTGTACAATTGTGTTTGGAAACATTTGGTTTGATCTGCAGTGGATTGTGGGAAACCTCAGAGCTCCTTACTGCTGGATAGGAACATGGATCTGTTAAAATAAGGAACATCCTGAGCTTCCTCTGCTAAAGGAGCTCATGGTTATCGTCCGGTTAACAGAGTTAATGCAAAGATGAGCTTGTGTTGAGTTGTTTTATTTATGAATGAAAAGAAGGAAATATGTTTTATTTCTTTTATTTTACAGTTAAATTATTATTTATGTAATTAGGGTTTCTTGTAATTTTAAATGTTCCTACATAAACTGCCGACCTCTTACACTTCAATAAACAAAAAACAAACAAAAAAAGACTTTGAATATGGCATATTTTTGTTTTTGCAGTTTTCAGTTTTACAGAGTTATTTTTGTACAGATATCGAGATATATATCGTATATCGAGATATAGCAAAATATATCGAGATTATTTTTTGATCCATATCGCCCAGCCCTACTAACTAGACTATTTTTACTATTATTTTGAAGTAATTTCATGAAATATACTTACTCCAATACCATTTCTAGCAACTCTACCCCCTTCTGTTTTTATTTATGAACTCTGTCACTCACAAACATTGATTATTCTGCGCACATATGCACTTTGTTTGGCTTTCCGCGAATCTGAAAACCACATGCGTCCACTCCCGTCCTCTCCTCTCTCCACAGCAGATAAAATAATGAGGCGCACATCTTTGTTTTCTTAAAAATACATACATTTGAAAGTTTATTCCATAGTCAGTAGTGAATTGGCAACAGTCAAAGATATCTGGATTCAAATGTTACAGTGATCTAGTAGCATACGGACAAAGTAGGATGAGTTAGTCGTATTTGTGCACTCCAAAAACATGAAACCCGTTCGGCCAATGAAAAGCTTTGAAATCCACACATGTACACGCCCCCTTTTTGCTCTTAGAATGAACCCATCAGCCATAACATTACGACCACTGGAGGATGAAGTAAAAAAAAAAAAAGAAAAAAAAAAGTATCCATATATTTTTTATTTATTTGTTAGAAGAAGAGCAAATGTAAAAGAAATCGCTTTTGATAATGGTCAAATTGTGACGGCTAAACAAGGTCAGGGTTGAGCAGGTGATTTAGACCTGGTTTAGTCCTGGTTGAGTCCTGATTTAATCCTGGTTTAGTGCTGATCTTAAGATGTGCCAAGTCTACAGTGGTCAATATCTATCAGCTGGTTTAGTCCTTGGTTTAGTCTTGGTTTAATCTTGGTTTAGTCCTGGTTTAGTCCTAATTTAGTCCTGATTTAGTGCAGCTCTTGATGGGTAATCTTGGTCTGCAGTGATCAGTATCTATCAGCTGGTTTATTCCTTGTTTAGTCTCTGGTTTAGTCCTGGTTTCATGCAGCTCTTGACTGGTGTTCTTGGTCTGCAGTGGTCACTATCTATCAGCTGGTTTAGTCCTGGTTTAGTCCTAGTTTAGTCTCTGGTTTAGTCCTGGTTTAGTGCAGCTCTTGTGGGATGTGCCTAGTCTGCAGTGGTCAGTATCTATCAGCTGGTTTAGTCCCTGGTTTTTTTGGTTTAGTCCTGGTTTAGTCCTGGTTTAGTCCTGGTTTTTGTCCCTGGTTTAGTCCTGGTTTAGTCCTGGTTTAGTCCTGGTTTAGTGCAGCTCTTGATGGACGTTCTTGGTCTGCAGTGGTCAGTATGTATCAGAGGTGTTTTAGGTTTGGTTTAAAACTGGTTTTGTCCAGGTTTAGACCTTGTTTAGACCTACTGTAGTCCTAATTTAGTCCTGGTTTGGTCCCTGTTTAGTCCAAGTTTAGAGGGGCTCTTGTGGAGTGGTCTGCAGTGGACAGTAAAGATACCTGATTCTTGGTTTAAGTGCCTGATTCTTGGTTTAGCCCTGATTTAGCCCTGGTTAACTTGGTTTAATACTGGTTTAATGTCACCTAGTGGGTGTTTCTATACTGCAGTGGTCAGTATCTAATATAAACTAGATATTTTAAACTTGGTTTTGTCCTATATTAGTCCTGGTTTAGTCCTGGTTTGGACTTTGTTTAACACTGGTTTAGTGTAGATCCTGCAGGAGTATACCCGGTCTACAATGGTCCTGAGTTGTACTTGGTTTAGTCTTAGTTTACTCCTGGTTTATTCCTTGTTTGGTCTTTGTTTAGTCCTGGTTCACTTCTATTTCAGACCTGGTTTAGTCCTGGTTTAGTCCTGGCTGAGTCCTGGTTTAGACTTGGTTGTGTCGCTCATTCGTAGGGTGGTCATAACATTATGCCTGATTGGATAAAATGCCACATAATCTAGATATGATGTATACGTTAATACAAAAATTCAATCACTTAGAAAATGCAATAAAATATATATACAAACCTCTGTACATAGTGGAAATGGGAGTACTGGTTTTAGTGGGAAATCGCTATACTCAGGTCAGTTTTGCAAAGCCATTGGTCCAAAGCTAGAACTGTCTTTATTAAAGGTCCTATATTACGCCAGATGGACTCTTGTGAGGTTGAAGTCATGTTTTAATGTTGTTTCCTCCTCAAAAACAAACCTGGAGTTGAGTTTTGTTTCATTCACACATATTTAAGTAATCCTTTTTTTATTAGTTTGCCGACATTTCCAAAGCTCAAAATGCTCTGTTCCAACTTTATGACGTCATGGTGGTAGGGGTGTGCAAAAAAACATCAAAATATCGATATATCGTATAGTTTAATGTGATGAAACAGTATCGATATCATGAGCTGCTGTATCGATTTATCGCCAAGAGTATTTTTTGGTATATTTTACTAAATTATTTTGTTACAGAGCTACAGTTTTGTTGTTGTTAAGAGGAAGGAAGGGGACTAAAAAGAACAAAAAAACAAAAGGGAGCCTAGAGGTGTATTTATGCTGCACTATCACATTTATTTTTTTATCTGATATTGCCAAATTTGTGTCCGTGTGGGTGGTTGAGGGGAAATGGGGGGGGCTTTTTTTTTTTTTTTTTTTTTTGGATTTGTTGTGGTGTTGTGGGTGTTGCTTTATATATTTGTCTTTGTTTTATGCTGAATATTGTAATTGTTAAATATGTTGATTGTTGTTTTATTATCTAAATGTTATATTCTGTTGTCCTTAATAAAAAATAAAAATAAAAAAAGAGAGGAAGGAAACTCTTTTATGCGACACATTTGGCATTTTCACTGCACTGTTGTGATGATTAAAATGTTTGTGTTTGATATGAACTTTGCACAAGAAGTGGTTTAACAAAGACTTTCAGTATCACACCTAGGGCTGGGTATCATTAAGAAATTGCCGATACGATACATATCCCGATACAGTGATCGATTCAATACACTATATTTCAAATCGATTCAATACGGTTCAGTAAAAATAAAGGTTAAATCATGGCTGTGATACTAAAAGTCTTTGTTAAACCACTTCTTGTACAAAATTCAGATGAAACACAAACATTTTAATCATCAAAACAGTGAAAATGTCAAATGTGTCGCACAAACGAGTTTCCTTCCTCTAAACAAGCAACAAAACTGTAGCTCTGTAACAAAATAATTTAGTTAAATATACCAAAAAATACTCTTGGCGATATATCGATACAGCCTATGGCCTATGTATCCAGGTAAGTATCGTATCGGCAACTTCTGAACGATACCCAGCCCTATAAAGGCTATTTTTTACCTTTTGTAGAGTAGAGATTGGCAATTTCCAGACCTGAAATGATTCTAATGAAGGTTTTTGGGGTTTTACAACACTCCCCGTATTACCACGTGACATCACAAGGTGGAACAGAGTGTTTCAGTTTCAGAGAAGACAGTCTAAACATGCAGGATCTATGTATTTAACTTAACTACATAACTCTGGGTATGTTTTTGATGAGGAAACAACATGATAACATAGATGGGAAAACAGCGTAATATGGACCTTTAAAGTTGCAAACAGCCAGCAATTTAGCGCTGTGTGGAACCTGCTCCCTACCGCGCACATTCAAGGCACCACAAAAAAATAAAAAATAAAATAGAATAAAGGGAGATGAGAGCGGGGAGGTATTCATCTTGTCAAGTTGAACAAGGAATGGTACGAAAATAAAAACTGGAGGAGCTCTAATCTGTGTCCCGGATGGTTTTGTGTGCCTGTCAGTGCGTTGCCAGGTTTGGTCGCTCTTCTCTCTTTGTTTACTGGCCGATGCCGGAGTCTATGGAGGTCTGTTTTCTGGTGGTTTTCGGAGGGGGAGGCGGAGGGGTCTTGCTGGGCAGAGGAGGAGGCATGTGCTGCAAAAAAAAACAAGAAAAAGAGAAAGAATTATTAGCGTCAACGTGTTTTAGTTTCTACAACGACCAAACAAAGGGAAACTGTAACGTAAAAGAAAAAAACACAACTTGAATCCAACAAATTTTGAGCAATGCACCAAACTATTGCTTTAACACTAAACTCAGAATCACATTTTTATAATAAATGACCAAACATCACAAAAAAACATCCCGAGAACCCTGATCAAAAGCTACATTCACATCATCAGGGCAGCATACAGGTCAGATCAGTGGAGAGGTGATTTGAGCAAGAACAACACAAATAGTCTCAATGCACAGTGAAGTGTCTCAAAGGTTACAGTCACTTTTATTAAAATCGTAAAACATAATATTAAACCTATTAAATTTACCTATTTATTTATTTATACCTACTTATTTTTATATGTAGTTTTTATTTGTTGTACTTCAATTTGTGGTGTTGTTTTAATATGTATAGGGTGACCAGGAGTTCCTATTTACCCGGGACAGTCCCTGTTTTGAGCCCTGTGTCCCCTGTCCCAACAGATTTATTCAAAACCAGTGATTTGTCCAGTTTTGCGCAAGAAATGTCTCTAGCCAACAGTAAAATGAGGCAGAAATGGTTATTTATTCAAGTAAAATACAGAAAATTATACTAAAAAATGACCAAAACACAAAAAAATGTGACTATACTGACTCACATGTTGTCATGAATGAGCCGAGTGCAAAACAATATGCACTCATTTCACAATACCTATACAAGAAATGTCCCACATGTCCCTATTTTTTGCAAATCTGATCTCTGCCAACAGTAAAGAGAGGAATAAATGGTCATTTATTTAAGTAAAATACAGAAAAGGATACTTAAAAATGATCAAAGCACACAAAAAAGTGACTATACTGACTCACATGTTGTCATGGATGAGCAAATTGCAGAACAATTTTCCTTAATTATGCACTCATTTCACAATTTTATTATTACCAACCACCGCAAAACAAGTGTGTCCCAGTTTTGATTTTGAAAATCTGGTCACCCGAAATGTGTTTTATGCCTCAAAATGAGCATTAGTGTTAGCAGTGAGACACAAACATCTCTCTGTCTAAACACAAACGTTTCCTCCAGTAAAGTACAGTATTTTCCAGGCTATAGGGCGCGTTCTTAAGCCTCTAACACCATCAAAAAACGACCGCACGCCCCACAATCCAGAGCGCCCTATACACGAATCCACTCGGGTGTCCCAGCACGACTTCAGTAAACTACAAAGCCGCAGAAAACGCAAACACACACGGAGCAGACAGCGACCGCACAGCGAAAAACACCCACAGACACACTCATCACTCCACGCCGACGAGGAACGGAACGGAGGAACGAACCGAAAAAGCGAGTGCAATGTGCCACTTCTAGACACGACTGAACAACTGAGTCACTGCGAACACGCCGACAATCCAGCGATCCCAGACAGCACCCTCCCTACACGCCACAACTGAACAAAGCCCAGAGTCACCGTGAACGCCACAAACAAAGTCCCACTGACCCATCCAACTGTTGTGTTTCCTTTACAGTCCAGTGTGGTTTATTTGTGAAAAAAAATCGGAAATAGACGATTTAATGACAGTGCGTCTTATAATCCAGAGCGCCTAATAGCTCGTAAAATACCGTATTCATTTTATTTGTGTACTTTTTAACATGTTGTCAGTGACATCCACCCACAGCTCCCTGTTCACTGCTTTATCTCTAAATTAGGGGTGGGACTTGATTAAAAAAGGTTTTGTAATTAATTGATCTCAGTTAAACACATAACAATATTTTAATTTTAATGGACGAATTTATCAAACAGTACTCACAGACATGTCTTGAAAAAAACTAAATTGCACTTCATTTCAAAATAGTAGACAAAGGTAAGGCCCCTGTCCAAAACTGAAGAGACTAAAGTGCCATTAAAGCCATTTTACTTTAAGTTGTTTCCTTCTGGACATCGTGTACGTCTTGCAAACTCTTTTCTGCACAGTTTTCAGTAAACAATGCCTTTGTCAATTTTTTTTTAAAATAGAAATTTACCGTCCAGCTGACAGAGAGCGCTTTCATACTCCATAGTTATAGTCGTAACTGTGTGCGTCAGTATAATTGTTGTACCACTGACAAATGTTCGGAGTTATTTGACATGAAAACTGCGATAAAATGGGTTCATATTTTTAATTCATCATTTTCTTTGTAATTAATTAATCAGAATGAACACGTTAATGTCCCACCTTTACTTTAAATGTTTATTAATTTCAGCATGACTCTGTAAAACACTAAAAATAAAACTTGACAGGAAGTAGTGACGCTAACAGTGAGGACAGAAATCTTTAAAGGGATAGTTTGGGTTTTTTGACATGGATCTGTTTGGCATCCCCGTAAGCAGTGTCGTGCCTCCACACTGACTTACCCCCGAAAGCGTCCGGTGAGCTGAGATACTGGCCGTTTTCTGTGCTGACGAAAGTAGTCCGGGAAGTTGGCTGGGGACATTAAAATAAAGCGTTTTTCTTCTCAAAACAACATGTGTTCAAAAGAGCGATACATTTGCATCACAAAACCTTCGTCCTCAAAAAAGTCAGACCTCATAATCACTTGGCACTATTTTCTCTCCGTTCGTATCACTGCGCGCGGCCGCCAGGTAACAGCCGCGCCTGGTTCACTTTGTTTACTGCTCGGAATGTCAGCGACAACATGTCTGATAACAACACCGACGATAAAGACGTTGCCTTTACCACATGAACCCGAATATACTGATGCCGAAATTCACCAGATGGAGTTAGAACGGGCAGAGAGCGAGAAAAGTGGTACAAGTTGAAGCGCGCAGTGGTACGAACGGAAAGAAAATAGTGCCAAGCGATTATGAGGTCTGACTTTTTAGGCGACGATGGTTTTGTGATGCAAACGTATCGCTCATTTGAACATATTGTTTTGAGAAGAAAAACGCTTTATTTTACAGTCCCCAGCCAACTTACCGGACTACTTTCATGAGCACCGAAAACGGTCAGTATCTCGGCTCACCGGACGCTTTCGAGGGTAAGTCAGTGTTGATGCACGACACTGCTCACGGGGATGCCATACAGATTCATGTCAAAAAACCCGAACTATCCCTTTAATGCCATACTGTGGAACATTCTAGGCAAAGCGATAACATCTCCATAGCAACACGCAGCTGGCAGACCCTCCACTAGAAAACTAACAGAGCATCTTTAATGTTTAGGTTGCGAGTGAGTGTTGTAGAGGTCATGACCTACGCAACAGCACCATGTCACTTTTGTTCCCACGGTGATGTTATTGATGTTGCTTCGGCCAGAATGTTCCGCAGCGTCGCATCCCGCTCGTCTATCTCCATGGCGACAAGCGAGGCCGAGTTACAGACGAGACGACGAGGTTTTGAGCGAGCGTGGAAAGTTGATCGCGGGAGCTGGAGTAAGTTATTGATAGTTTTGTTATTTACCATGGAGACACGGAGACATCAATCATCCGCACTACAGCTGACGGGAGAAAACAAGGAAGTTTGGTCTCAAATGCCAAGCCATTAATTCTGCTCCAGACTCCAAGAGAAGCCCTGGAACTTCAGCTATCTCTGCGGGGACAACTTTCAGGAACTTATGTGATGTACAACAAGCTAAACGCCGTGTAAAGGACAAATGTTTTTAATTTGTACAACCCAAGTACAAGTATTAATATCCAAGACAAATGTGAGTTAAGTTGAGATACATTTTATACACTTCAAATCAAATCCACTGCTACTGATTATAACAAATACTGCTGCCTTAACTAATGCTACTACAATTTCCAACGCTGTGACTACTACTACTGCTGCTACTAATAAAACTACTACTACTGCTCAGAGGTGGGACCAAGTTGTTGTTTTGCAAGTCTGAAGTAAGTCTCAAGCCTCTGACCTCATTCATTGCACTAAATTATGCATTCAATTTTGTTTGTTTTAATTTATATTTTGTCTCTTATATATAGAGTAAGTGGTAAGTGAAATTGTAAACGTTAACTTGCTGTTCATACGCAGTTTTTTTGTGTGGAATTCTGTCACCGTTTAAAAGGATTTCGCATTATAAGTACCTTTTACTTCAGCCTAAACCCTTTTAGACGTGATTTATGGGGTTGTGGTCTATGTTTTGTTTTGTAGTGCTGCAAAATGACCAAATAAACTACTACTACTACTACTACTAATAGTCCAAGTCAAGTCCCAAGTCAAAAACAGGCAAGTCTCAAGTCACTGACCCATAAGTCCAAGTCAAGTCCAAGTTGTCTGCTTTAAGCTTCAAGTTATTTCAAGTCTTTAATGCCAAACATTGCTTAGATTTTTGCAATTTATATGAATTTTAAACTAATTTGTACTTAAAAAAAAAAAATCATGGTACATTTATATATGAGCATTTATAAAGGGTTGTAAAAATGCTATTTAATTAAATTTATTTTTTTTAATGTCTTGTCAAGATCTTAAGTGTGAATTAATATGGTCAGAATAGAAAGAATTTAGATTTAAAAGTGTTTAATAACAGTTATATTGTCATGTAATCTGCACTGAAATGGAAGGATCATGTTTTACTGTATATTACTTTATATTACTTTAGTACATTTGAAGACACCACATCAAAGTACTTCAGTTACATCCAAAGTAACAAATAGAAGTGAGATGGACATGTGCCAGTTTGTTCTTGTAAAATTAAACACTTTAATTTTACATTTTAGCATTTATCAACTGAAAAGAGAAAACATATATTTAGGAGAAGCATCAAGACTTCTCCAGTCACGGGCCTCAAGTCCGAGTCGAGTCCCAAGTCTTTGACCTTCAAGTCCAAGTCGAGTCCCAAGTCTTAGTCCATTTTATCAAGTCAAGTCTCAAGTAATAAAAATAGTGACTCAAGTCTGACTCGAGTCCAAGTCATGACTCACAAGTCCCCACATCTGCTACTACTACTACTACTACTACTACTACTACTACTACTACTACTACTACTACTACTACTACTACTACTACTACTACTACTACTACTACTACTACTACTACTACTACTACTACTACTACTACTACTACTACTACTACTACTACTACTACTACTACTACTACTACTACTACTACTACTACTACTACTACTACTACTACTACTACTACTACTACTACTACTACTACTACTACTACTACTACTACTACTACTACTACTACTACTACTACTACTACTACTACTACTACTACTACTACTACTACTACTACTACTACTACTACTACTACTACTACTACTGCTACTGCTACTGCTACTGCTACTACTGCTGCTACTACTACTACTACTACTACTAATTTCTACAACTATAAAACTAACTATAAAACTAGTCTAGAGCAGCTACTATTGGCCAATAATAGTTTTCTTCTTAGAGTAAAACAATTGACTAAACAAAATAATTAATAATTGAGGTTAAAGCTGCCCTATGTAACATTTTGGTTGGTCTGTCAGCTTCTTTGTTCTATGGAGATGTCATTGCTCTGTCTAGTATGTTCCACAGTATGACATTTAACAGCTCTAACTTATTTTTATTCAATTACAGCTGGTTTTATAGCTCAAAAATACCTAGAAAAATGGGAATTTTAACTGTGAGGGGGGTCACCTCTCCACAGATCTGACCTTTAACTTGGTCTGGTTTGGTCTCTATGATGACAGAAAGTATTATTTAACCATACTGTGATATATTTCGGACGAAGGAATAACATCTCCATGGAGAAAAGCGATAGAAAAGCACTTTTAGGGTACAATTTATTCTGGGCCCCCTAAGATCCTGGGGCCCGGCCTAACTGACCTCTTTGCCCCGCCCTTGTCAACGTCCCTGGAAACACAATTGGGCAGGAAGTAGTGACACCAACAGTAGTAACACTTTGTAGAGAACTAGATATTAAGTCTCTATTTGGTCTTTAAGCTGTAAAATCTTTTCTACAACCGTGTGTGCGTCCAAAAGTTCATTCATAAAATACACTTCTTATGTAAACAAAGCTCTCCGGCCTTGTTGTCCCCGCTCCCGTCTCTCTCTCTCTCTCTCTCTCTTCTTCCTGACGGAGGATAGATCACATTAGTGTGTCTGGGGCTGGGGCTTTAGGACGCCCAGAGACAAGTGTGGAGCGGCCAGACTGTGATTTAGCTCCAATGCGCCCCTGATGGATAGGAGGGGAAAAGCAATCATCCAATCCATCAGCACGAGTCCACGCGCCGTCCGAAGGATAAGGACATAAATAAGACTGAGATGGGACAAGAGGGAGAGAGAAAGAGGGAGAGAGGGGGAGGGGGAGAGGAGGAGAGGAGGGAGAGGAGAGGGAAGAGAGGGAAAGAGGGAGAGGAGGGAAGGAGGGAGGGAAAGTGAGATGGGAGAGAGAGAGAAGGGAGAGAGAGGGAGAGAGAAAGAGAGGTAAAGAGGGAGAGAGGGAGAGAGAGAGAGATGGAAGGAGAGAGAGAGACAGAGAATGAAGGCAAAAGGGAAAAGGAGAGAGGAAGGGGAGAGGAAGAGAGAGAGGAAGAGAGAGAGGAAGAGAAAGAGGGAGGGAGAGAGGGAGGAATGGAGAGAGGAAAAGAGAGAGGGAGGGAGAAAAGAGAGGGAGACAGGATGAGAGAGAGAGGAGAGAGAGAGGAAGGAAGGGAAAGAGGAAAAGAGAGAGAGGAGAGAGGAAGGGAGGAAAAGAGAGGGAGGAAGAGAGGAGGGAGGGAGAGAGAGCAGGGAGGAGAGAGGAAGAGAGCGAGGGGGAGGGAGAGAGGGAAGGAGAGAGGGAGAGAAGAGAGGGGAGGAGAGTGGGAAGGAGAGAGGAAGAGGAGAGGGAAGGAAAGGAGGGAGGGAGCAAGGAAGAAAGAGAGAAAAGAAAAAGAGAGAGGGAGGGAGAAGAGAGAGAGAAGGAGGGAGAGAAAAAGAGGGAGGGAGAGAGATAAAGAGAGAGGGAGAGAAGAAGAGAGGGTGGCCAAGAGGCAAACTGAAAAACGTTCACACTACGGCAGCATAAAATATCCTTCATCTACTATTCCAACTATGTACACGACTGAACTAGGGTAAAACCAGTGTAAACGAGGACTACAGGATGAAGAATAAAAAGATATATAAAAAAAGATAACTTGAATTATAAAGATGAGAAGCACCAGAGGAGAAAAAGAGGAGCAAAGGTGAGAAGCAGAGAGAGTGAGAGAGGGGAGAGAGGTCAGATGGCACCGCACACACAGAAGGGGAGAGAGACTGGACTTTTTGCTAAATTGTGCAGATTTAAGTTTTGTTTTGTTTTGTTTTGTTTTGTAGTGCTGCAAAATGACCGAATAAAAAAAAAAAAAAAAATCCAAAATTGTGAACACGTGAGGAGACAAAGAAAGACGCTGTGGCTCAGGCTGCTTTTTCCTAAACTAGAGCGTAAATCCTCGTCAGTACCGAACATTTCACCATGGATATACACGTAGAACACCCCCCACATGATGTCTCTGTCAAAGGATCCTGCATATTACTCTTTACTTGCAATGTAGCAGTTCAATACAATTATTCTGTGTTTAACCTACGACAGTTCTATCACCATTTACACAGAAATTGTCTAAATACGGAGCAATAATTATGAAAGTAACCCCCCACGCACCTATGACCCATTTGTCAAACTTAAGTCTTTCCATAATAAGAACCACGTACAGTATGTAATTAAGAGCGTATATCTCGAGTGCTAATTACTACACCTACCCTGTGATGTGGCGGGGGCGGAGGAGGTGTGGAGGGACTCAGGTCCGGGTTCTCGAACAGGTTTCCGTAGTCTGCAGTACTGCTCTTGACAGGCAGGGGGGGCGGGACTTCATTTTTGTCCGGGCCACTGGTTCCGTTGAGTTCCAAACCTGGACAAAGAGGGGGGGGTTAGGGTTTTTTAAAGTATCGAAAGTCAGATACTAATCGAGACTAAAATTAGTATCAGTAGTAGTATCATTTGAGCAGGTATTGATACTAAAAAAAGTCACGTTCAGAGGACAGAAATGAATCTTTCCTGAATAGCTTTAGAACGTATAAGAAGTATAAGACAGCATAGACTAGTATACACCCATGGAAGACTGTGGAACCTCCCTGGACCACTGAGGGATTACACACATATAAGACCACATGGAAATATAAAAGAAAATACTACTATGTAAAGGGCCTATATTAGGCTATTTTGTGTGTGTGTTTTCTTTCATTCACATGTTTAACACACAAACCAGAAAACACTTTGTTCAACCTTGTAATGTCGTAATGCAGGAAGTGCTCCATTGTGTTTTTAAACTCCTTCACTAGATTCATTTGGTTCATTTCTAGGGGTATAACAGTACTTGTATTCGTGCCGAACTGTTTCGGTATGGGACGTTTGGTTCGGTGCAGAGCTGTGCATGAGTGAATTCTCACAAATTGTGTGTGTTTACATTTGGTCACTACATGTGCAGCTACACGAAGGCTTAACTCTTTAATATTCACGAGGGAACTCGTCTGTGATTGGGGTGACTGTGTTTCCTGCAGCGCTTTATAGTTAGAGCGACCACCTTGACAACAATTGTGGCCATAACAGCTTGTCAAAGCTTGATCCCATCAGATCTCAGAAGCTAAGCAGGTTGGGCCTGGGTAGTACTTGGATGGGAGACCGCTAGGAATGCCAGGTGCCACAGGGAGGCGCCAGTGGCAAAAAAAAAAATGTTGTTGTGTCCTTAGGCAAGACACTTCACCCACATTGCCTAGTATGAAAGTGGTGTGAGAGTGAGTGATGGTGATGGTCGGAGGGGCCGATGGCGCAGATTGGCAGCCTCACTTGCGTCAGTCTGCCCCAGGGCAGCTGTGGCTACAATAGTAACTTACCACCACTGAGTGTGGAGTGACTGAAGAATGAACTGTAAAGTGCTTTGGTTATCTTGAAAGGTGCTATATAAATGCAATCAATCAATCAATTGCTCCCCACCTTGACTACATCCCTCTGAACCACGAGAGTCCTCACAAAAGTACAGTCGTAGCAGCTGCGATCCTCACTTTCGCCTTTTGTCGGCACAGAATCTCTACCCCCTAAGTTGTTTTTTCTGGCCAAAAATATGAAGATTGAGTAAAATTTCATGCTGGAACTGTTAGTGCTGCACTTTACTTTTTGAGTTTTGTTTACTGTTTACGAGGAATTTTAATTCAAATGCATAATTAATGTTTTATAATATTTCACACGCTTGTTGCTTATTTGAGAATATTTGATGTAACTTATTAGTATTACCAAGCAGCACTTTTCATTTATTTTATTTTTCCCTTAATAATTTCAGCCCTGGAATTGCCAATCTTTACTGAAAAAAAGATAAAATGCAGCTGTTAACTTGAAATCTACAGTTTCATGACATCACAAGGTGGAACAGAGCATTTTGAGCTTTGGTGATATAATAATAATAGGGTTACTCAAATGTAAACAAAACAAAACACAACTCCAGGTCTGTTTTTGACGAGGAAACAACATTATAACATGGCTTAAATCTCACAAAAGACAATTCTGTGTAACATAGGACGTTTAATATTGTCTAAATTAAGTGTGTTTGTAATTATCTTCCTGGTATCAGAATCGGTATCGAAATGTTTGTATCGTGACACCAGTAGAGGACACAGCATTAATCATTGAGTCATTCTTGCAGGGAAATCCAAGGCCGCTGCTGAAAATAGATCCTCTGGCCCAATTAGTACAAATCCTTTAATCCCCCAAATAACCATATTAACCGTGGAAGGAATTTTAGGTGGAAAAAATGAGGACTGAATTCAATGGGAGGTATCCGGAAATAATTTGGAGGATTTAGAGAAACTAATTGTGTAGAAAATAGTGGATATTATAAATTTTGTCTGCAAACTTATTTCCAGATTGCATTATATTCACACGAGAAGGTTCGAGGGTACATTTATATGGTAGTGACAGGGAGGGCATCTGGATTAAAATCTTTGTATGTAGGTTTGGAAATAACTGCAGACTATGAATCAAAAAGACAACAAAATAAAAGGTGAATTCTAATTATTTTTGCTAAAATTAGTAAGAAATAAAACAATCATAAAACATTAGAGAACAAATAAATGCCCCATCAGTTTTTACATTCATTTTATTTACAACAACTCACCTTATGTAACAGATAATACTCCCTACAACTGTACAACAACTCACCCTTATGTAACAGATAATACTCCTTACAACTACACAACAACTCACCTTTATGTAACAGATAATACTCCCTACAACTGTACAACAACTCACCCTTATGTAACAGATAATACTCCCTACAACTTTACAACAACTCACCTTTATGTAACAGATAATACTCCCTACAACTGTACAACAATTCACCCTTATGTAACAGATAATACTCCTTACAACTACACAACAACTCACCTTTATGTAACAGATAATACTCCCTACAACTGTACAACAACTCACCCTTGTGTAACAGATAATACTCCCTACAATTTATAACAATTCACCCTTATGTAACAGATAATACTCCCTACAAATGTACAACTATTCACCCTTATGTAACGGATAATACTCCCTACAACTGCGCAACAACTCACCCTTGTGTAACAGATAATGCTCCCTACAACTGTGCAAGAACTCACCTTATGTAACAGATAATACTCCCTACAACTGTACAACAACTCACCTTATGTAACAGATAATACTCCCTACAACTGTACAACAACTCACCTTTATGTAACAGATAATACTCCCTACAACTGTACAACAACTCACCCTTGTGTGACAGATAATACTCCCTACAATGTACAACAATTCACCCTTATGTAACAGATAATACTCCCTACAACTGTACAACAACTCACCTTTATGTAACAGATAATACTCCCTACAACTGTACAACAACTCACCCTTATGCAATGGATAATACTCCCTACAACTGTACAACAACTCACCCTTGTGTAACAGACAATACTCCCTACAACTGTACAACAACTCACCCTTGTGTAACAGATAATACTCCCTACAACTGTACAACAACTCACCCTTATGCAATGGATAATACTCCCTACAACTGTGCAACAACTCGCCCTTATGTAACGATAATACTCCCTACAACTGTGACATAAAAAGCTCCAAAATTTTGAATATCTGTGCCGTCATCTGATATCCTTAACTTTGTGTATTTTTATATTTCTGATTCTTTGATATTTATAACTTCGCAATTTATTTTGAAGTTTTTCTCCACTTAAACTTTTTTCTTCTTCCATTTAGGTGATCGCTCAAAGTGCCGGTGCTAAAACAGAGCTACAAATAGAGCCCTTTTGACATCAATTATCGCCGTTTTTCAGAGCGGCTTCAGACTCGTGTGAGGTGAGACTGCGGTGACACTTCTGCTCAGACATCTGGAGCTGTCAGAGTTTACGTTCACACCAATGTAAAGAAACGCTTCCAATAACAACTATACAGAAAGAGGCTTGAACTCCGAAGAACATATGACGAGAGTGCAGATGTTTCATAGCGCAACTTTGAAGGCCAGACATGTTTATTTCTTACTGTGTGGTAGTTTTTTATTTATTATAGATGTTATTAGAATATTTATACAACATATATTTACTTTACATTTAAGGGTTCATATTATACTATTTTCTGATCTATGTTATAATGTTGTTTACTCATCAAAAATATACCTGGAGTTGTGTTTCTGTTTTGTTTATTACTAGAACTGAGCCAGGGCTTTACCAGGACTGAGCCAAGACTGAGCCAAGACTGACCCAAGACTGAGCCAGGACTGAGTCAGGACTGAGCCAGGACTGAGCCAAGACTGAGCCAAGACTGAGCCAAGACTGAGCCAAGACTGAGCCAAGACTGAGCCAAGACTGAGTCAGGACTGAGTTAGAACTGAGCCAGGACTGAGCCAAGACTGACCCAAGACTGAGCCAAGACTGAGCCAAGACTGAGCCAAGACTGAGCCAAGACTGAGCCAGGACTGAGTCAGGACTGAGTTAGAACTGAGCCAAGACTGAGCCAAGACTGAGCCAGGACTGAGCCAAGACTGACCCAAGACTGACCCAAGACTGACCCAAGACTGAGCCAAGACTGAGCCAAGACTGAGCCAAGGACTGAGCCAGGACTGAGCCAGGACTGAGCCAGGACTGAGCCAGGACTGAGTTAGAACTGAGCCAGGACGGAGCCAGAACTGAGCCAGGACTGAGCCAAGACTGACCCAAGACTGACCCAAGACTGAGCCAGGACTGAGCCAAGACTGAGCCAGGACTGAGTCAGGACTGAGTTAGAACTGAGCCAAGACTGAGCCAAGACTGAGCCAGGACTGAGCCAAGACTGACCAAGACTGACCCAAGACTGACCCAAGACTGACCCAAGACTGAGCCAAGACTGAGCCAAGACTGAGCCAAGACTGAGCCAGGACTGAGCCAGGACTGAGCCAGGACTGAGCCAGGACTGAGCCAGGACTGAGTTAGAACTGAGCCAGGACGGAGCCAGAACTGAGCCAGGACTGAGCCAAGACTGACCCAAGACTGACCCAAGACTGAGCCAGGACTGAGCCAAGACTGAGCCAGGACTGAGCCAAGACTGAGCCAAGACTGAGCCAAGACTGAGCCAAGACGGAGCCAGAACTGAGCCAGGACAGAGTTTGGGCTGAGTTTGGGCTGAGCCAAGACTGAGACAGGGCTGAGCCAAGACAGCTAAGACTACACAAGTTCTGAGCCAGAACTGAGCCAGGACTGAGCCAGGACTGAGCCAGGACTGAAACAGGACTGAGTCAGGACTAAACAAGTACTGAGCCAGGTCTGAGCCAGGACTAAGCCAGGACAGAGTTTGGGCTGAGTCTGGGCTGAGCCAAGACTGAGACAGGACTGAGGCAAGACTGAGCCAAGACAGCCAGGACTAAACTAGTTCTGAGCCAGGACTGAATCAGGACTGAATCAGGACTGAGTCAGGACTGAGTCAGGACTGAATCAGGACTGAGTCAGGACTGAGTCAGGACTGAGTCAGGACTGAACCAGGACTGAACCAGGACTGAACCAGGACTGAACAAGGACTGAGCCAGAACTGAGCCAGGATGGAGTCAGGACTGAGCCAGGACTGAGCCAGGACTAAACCAAGACTAAACCGGACTAGTTGAGTGTGTTGTGGTGTGTGTGCAGTGTGGACGTTCTTACTGGGGCCGGTGAGCAGGCTGAAGGAGAGCTTGGTGCGGGGGGTGATGGGTGGAGGCCCCGGGGAGGCGGAGGCGGAGGCAGGGGCGGAGGGGGGTCCAGGTGACACTGACAGGCGCCGGTCACCTGTCAGCTGGTTCAGGATCTGACTCTTCGGTCTCTGAGGACGCAGGGGACTTATCTGTGAAGGACAAACAAGAAGAGACACTCAAAAACGTGTGCATTACTTTAAGCGCTTTACCTGATTTTTACTGTCTTAAAAAGGCGAAAAACAAAACTAGTTCATTTTAAACAATTTACGGTGGTCCAAAGTAATTCCTCACTTACCGTATGCAATCAGAGAATCCTAATTATTAAGTTATATTCATTTATATTCCATTTTTAAGTGCAGTTTTGTCTTGATGATAAAGTCAATGACAACTACCACTTCCTAACTATCAGACAATAATACAAAACGCTTTATAACGTATTACAGTGCATTTAAGATATTACTCAAATCGTGCATATTTTCTTTTCCACTGACAAGACATTGGTAGGGATTCCACTTGGTACTCACGACGTAGCCTGATTCATCAGGCGGTTTCACTTCGTAGAAACCGTCTGACCTCGCAGCATTAGGATTAATTCGCTCGACGGTAGACGTGTACTTTTTTTAATTTAACCAAACGCTGCTATTTGGCCGTGAGGTATGTAATGCGCCGCTAACGGAGCTAACTGGTATATTAAGCTTTCCCCAAATCCCGTAGGAAAAAGGGCAATAACGTCTTTCCCCTTGATAAAATTCATCAAACATTTATTCCGGCTTAAAATCCTCGATCTCAGGAATCGTTGACAACACTGAATGTACGGCTCTTCTCTGATTGGCTGGTGCCCGAACTCACATTTCTGGGGTTCTTACAAACCGTCTAGTGTATTCTGATTTCTGACCTAGGCGCTGGAGAGAAAAGAAATTGAGTGGAGGCACTAGGTAATAGATAGAAAGTCCCAAGGTTTCAATATGGCCACCCATTCAAGTCAATGGGCCGAGCTCAATGGCGCGTGACTCCAGATTCGCCTTTAGCCCAACGAAGTATTTCCGGTGGCGCTGGGCCGATCGAGCATGTGCAGTAGTGCTCTTTTCTCCCGCGAGCACACGCCAATGCACGGTCTCATGTATCTTGTGATGGAGGAGCTAGAACGGAGCCGGAGCGAACGATTATAAAGACAACTGAAAGATTTTGAGCTAAGAAAAAGTTTATGATCTAAAAATGGGTAAAAATCGCCACAAAATTCGACATTTTTGAAAGTTGTAGGTGCCCTGTCAGACGAACACAAGCAGTTTGTGATTACATTGAGCTCTATGAGAAAAATCCTCTCTCAGCCCAGGACATTTTTTCCGCTTTCGTACCAGTGAGCGTCACTATGTCACACCCTATCCACTTATTTTAACAGATCCATGGCACTGACAGAGCTGGAAATATTAATATCATGACAACACACTGTCAGAAACAAATTAAAGTGTTTCTTAAAAAAAAGAAGCAGCTCAAAATAACATTATGTAAAGAGGGCTTAAGTATTCCCATATATTTAAACAGTCTAATTAACTCCTCATGATGAAGCCTGTTGGATAAAAGTGCCTACGAAGTTCCTATTTGTGGTTGGTAGTAGTTGTGTGCATGGAAGAGCGCGCTCCCTTTAGCTTTGTTATGATGATGAGTGGAATTTGAATATAAAAAGACACGTCCTCCAGGCAGCGCTTCTCTGTAAGACACATTAACCAGCAGCTTTATAATTGCTCTGACTTAAGCAGAGCGCCACGGGACAAAAGGAAAAAATAACACCGATTTTATTTAAAGCACTTGGTTTGGGGAAGGTCTTGTGAACAATGACAAATGAAAATAATGGTTGGAATGTTCCACAGTATCTCAGGTTAACGTTAGGACGATAACACTGTAGGCCAAGTTAGATCTATGGAGAGGCAAGCCTGCATGTAAGTAAATGCTACAGCGATACAGTATGTTTAATGCCGTACTGTGGAACCTTCCAGGCAAAGCAATAACAGCTTGATGGTAATAAGCAGGTGGATCATAAAGGCCAACGCACCCCAGAGCGCCGGAGTTTTGTCTGCAGATTTCTGATATAATGAGAGACGCAGGGCAAGGCAGAGAGAAGAGGAGGAGCAGGAGGAAGAGGGAAAGAGGAGGAAAGATAGAGGAGGAGGAGAGGAAGAGGAGAAGAAGAGGAGAGGGAGAAGGAGCAGGAGAAGGAGAGGAGGAGAGGGAAGGGAAAGAAGAAGAGGGAGAGGGAGAAGGAGAGGGGGTGCTTTGTGCAGGTTATAGTGAGTTCAGTGGGAGACCAAAGTTTCCTGCACAGAGAAAAGCAGGAGAGGAAAAAAGGGAGAGGAGGAGGAAGAGAGGAGGAGGAAGTGGGGAGGGAGAGAAGAAAAGGGAGAAAACAGGAAAAGGTAGGTCTTAAATTTTCAAGCCACAGGAAAAAAATAAAATAAAATGTACTGCAAAACTTGTGCCATAAAAAAAAAGAAAATCCTACATTAAATAGACATATAAATACAAATATTATGTAAAATAAATAAAAATCCCACATAAAATACATTTTTAAAAATCCTGTCCAAAAAAATCCTATGTAAAATAAACATGTAAATAAAAATATTATGTCAAATAAATAAAAATTCCACATAAAATAAATACATAAAAAAAAAAAAAATCCTATGTAAAATAAACATATAAATACAAATATTATGTCAAATAAATAAAAACCCCACATAAAACAAACACATAAAAAAAAATAATAAAAAAAAATCCTATGTTAAATAAATAAATCCTACATGAAATAAATAAATAAATAATTGGAATAAAAAAATATAAAAATAAAAAATAAAATATATATATTTTTTAAAATCCTATGTAAAATAAACATATAAATATTATGAAAACCTAAAAATTCTACATAAAATAAAAAAAAAAAAAAAAAAAAATTCTATTCTGTGTAAACAAATACAAAAAAAATCCTATGTAAAATAAATTTAAAAATTATATGTAAAATTAATGAATAAAAGTACAACGTAAAAATAAAATGTATAAAATATAAACAATATATATAATAAAATATATAAAATAAAAATCTCATTACATGCTTCCGTTCCGCATTTAAAACCAACATGCACACACAAAGCTCCGTATCTCTTTCAGCATCACATCACGACTCTTGATACGTGCTGTGCTCCGGTTTGTGTTTCTGTATCTGCAGGAGTGTGGTCCGGGCCCCCGAGGCGATGCCCCGCTATCACACCACCAGCATACATCCACTCCTGCGCGTTCCTCTTAGCCCCGTTAGCCATAAAACTCCCATTGGGTTCACAACAGCTGTAGAGCCGTATATCTGCGCTTTAATGGACACAGTGATGATGCTGAGGAGACATTAGGATGCGCACAAACACACGGAGCCGTCCCACACAACAGGAGCGCGGAGAATAGAGGCGTGTGAATGCTAATGTGTTTTACCAGGCTAAAAAAGAAACCCTTTCAGAGCAGACGTGTTGATATTTTTAGGTGTGAGTTATATGAGTTTCAAGGTGCACTGGGTAACTTTTCTGGCGGAGGGTTTACCACGTGCTTGTCTCCGTGGAGATGTTACTGCTTTGATTTGAATGTTCCATAGTATGACATTAAACTTAAAGGCGCATTGCGTCTTTTCTGGTGCAGGGTTCGTCAATTATTTTCTCCCTGGAGATGTTATTGTTTGTTCTGTATTGTCCTTTCTACCTTCATGGAGACCAAATCAGACCAAGTTACAGGTCAGATCTGTGGAGAGGGGACCCCACCAACTTTTTCTATGTATTTTTGAGCTATAAAACCACCTATAATTTAATAAATGTAGAGTAAAACTGCCATACTGTGGAACATTCCAGGCAAAGAAATTACATATCCATAGAAACAAGCAGGTGACGGACCCCCAAATAAAAAGTGTTGTGGTGGAGGGTTTGCCATGTCCTTGTCTCCATGGAGATGATATTGCTTTGCCTTGAATGTTCCATAGTATGACATTAAGTTAAAACCTTACATCTAAAACAATTACCGGTGTTTTTATTAGGGCCCAAGCGATATTGGCACTTGGAGACATATCGGCTATCGGTCAAAATCTTGCCGATCTGGGCCGATAGTTCATGTGGGCATGTTATACTTCGTTATAAAGCTTAGACTCTCTATATTATGTCCATTTAATCCAATTCACAGACAGATAAATGTCCTAATATGTGGCGCCGCATCGGTATTTATCTGCGGAGTAAATTGTCTGTGTCTGTGATGTCGTACTGCCCCTGAACGCAACCCCAGAGTCACATTATTCACGTGCGCTTGTTTACACCTGCAGCTGCTGTAAACAGGATGGATTATATTCTTTTTACAGACGATTGTTTTGAGTCCGGATTGAAAGGACACTTATTAATGAAGACTTTTGATGTGAGAGGAGCCTGTAAGAGCTCTGAGTGTTGCAAATGTGTCGGATTTGAAGATACTTTTGGTTCTTTCTCATTGTTTAGCTTCTCCAACACATAAACAGTCTCTTACTCTGAAACTGGACTAGTGTAAAGTGACTATAATGGCCGTACACACGTTACTAGACACACATTGATATGTAAATGAGCTGTGAATAGAGGTGTGAATGATCAGTATTATGCCTATAATTGCAGTGTGGACGCATTTACCACTAAAGGCTAATAGCTGTAGTTTATTTTCTTTCTTTACTGGCTGGAATGTCATGCAAAAATGTCTTTAGGTCGACCTACTGTCTTCAAACATGACTGTAAGGAGGCAGAATAACAATAAATGTTGCCTAAACAAACCCAATTTAAAATCCAGTAGAGCCAGTCCAAAGTTTTATATTATAGTCAATTTATAGCGTTGATTTAAAGTTGATTTATAGTGAATTTTTACGTCACTAAATATATTGGCTTTTATATTGGCTATCAGCATCTTCAAGTCCTGTTTTATCAGTATCATATCGGCCGCAAAATAATCCATTTCAGTCGGGCCCTAGATTTTATTGCTCATAAATTCAACGAAAAACATGATTTAATGTGTCTCACCTTAGCAATAGTACTTTAGTAGTAGTAGTAATAGTAGTAGCAGTAGTAGTAGTAGTAGTAGTAATAGTAGTAGTAGTAGTAGTAATAGTAGTAGCAGTAGTAGTAGTAGTAGTAGTAGTAATAGTAGTAGTAGTAGTAGTGTTTCATACCGTCTCAGAGAGTATGACTGCCTCCGTGGGCTGCACTGGGATGTCAGCAGCCTTCAGCTCTTTGTCAAACACTTCCTGATGTTTGCTGTTTCTTTTCTCTTTCTTCTTGTCCTTTTTGTCCCTCTCGGGCTCCTCTCGGTCCAGTTTGTCCGTAGACTTGGTGTGCAGTTTCTTTGGGAGCAGCGGCTCTAGTGCAAACCTGCGGGATTACAAGGGACAAGGACACAGAACCTTACAGGGACTGCAGCGTAAAGTGCAAGCAATGATTAAAATAGAGCTGATCCTTATAAATCCTCCCGGGATTAAAAATAAATGAAATCTCTGGATGACAGAAAAAAAGTCAAGGATTACTACAAGTTAAAGGGTCCATATTACGTTATTTTCTGATCAATGTTATAATGTTGTTTCCTCATTGCAAACATACCTGGAGTGTATTGTTTCATTCACAGATGTTTAACACACAAACCCTGCATATTTAGGCTGAGTTCTTCTCTCCAGTTGAAAATACACCTTATGATGTCATGTGGTAATACAGGAAGTGCTTCATTTTGTTTTTAAACTCCATACACCTTCACTAGAATCATTTGGATGTTTTCAGCCCTGGAAGTGACAATTTATACTGAAACAAAGGTAAATGGTTAGTCTGATTCATCAGCTGGTTTCACTTCGTGGAAACTGTTTGACCTTGCAGCATTAGGATTCGTTCGCTCGACGGTAGGTGTGTACTTTTTTAAATTTAACCAATTACTGCTATTTGGTCGTGGCGTCTGTAATGTGCCAGAGCACTCAGTGGTGTCCAAGTAATTGTCGGCTTCACAGCTCTTCACCGATTGGCCGGTGTGCGGTTTACAACTTCCGCAAACCATCTAGTGTATTCTGATTCCTGACCTAGTCACTGGAGAGAAATGAAATTGACCGTAGGCACTAGGTGGTGCCAGCTTGGCTAGTAATACGTAGCTGTAAACTTAAAAACTACCACATCATGACATCACAACGTGATATGGAGTATTTAGAGTTTTGGGGATGTAGACAGATCAAGTAATAAATTGTTATACAAACATGAGTGATTGAAACAAAACTCTAAACTCTAAACTACATTTTTAAGAAGGTAAATAATAAATATCATTATAAACACAATATCTGTGTTTCAATTCCTCTATAAAATGGTGAATAGTTTACCCATCAGAGCCGGGCCTGGAGGGGGAGTTGTCAGAGGAGATGGAGGTGACTGAGGCCACAGACAGGGGGCGCTGTGATGAGGGCATAGTGAAGGAGCGCACCATAGAGTGAGGCCGGGACCCTCTCCGCCGCTCGTGTGCTGGAGGCTGAGGAGAAGAAGAAAAATCATCAAGATTCAAGAGAAACTGTGGTGTTTGTTTGGACTATGTAACAGTCTTTTCTCATTCTCAGTAAATGGATAAGGTCTCATGTGAAAGCTCAAAACCTCCAAAATTGAGATCAGATCCAGATCAGAGTGAGTCCCAAATGAGAACAATGAGAACAACTCCTGCCTTCACTTTCTTAAAATGAAGCAAATCTGTCCATATTATCGACCTCAATACAAGGCAGGACAAATGAAAGCTGAAAAACTCCTGATATTTTTATTGCATATTCTGTCTGACAAAGAAACTGCCACAAGATTAAAATGTCCGAACATCAGCTTTGACAAATTCATTGCATTATAAACTCTTCTTGAGCTGAGAATAGAGCGCTGACAGGGCCGATAGGGAAAACCTTATTATCAGACCCAGAGTGTGATTGGGTTTTTCTGTTCTGAAAGGTCACTATAACTCGCCTTTAAATCGCACTGTGGCCCTCTCGCACCGCGGGGAGGAGAGGAGGAAACTGCCCAGGCGAGCAACAATTAAACCGCTGAAGGAGACAGAGGAGGGAGAGAGGAAGAGGAGGGAGAGAGGAAGAGGAGGGAGGGGCCACCAGAGCTGACCTAAGCTAAAAGCAGCTCTGAGCCTCATGACCAGATTAACACAATTTGGACAATCGAAGGCAAAAGAGAAAACAAAATTACAGAAAATTGCAGAAAAAGACGTCAATAAAAATAGCGTGATTTTAGTGATTTCCTGCAAATGTCTGTTTTTCGCTTTAAGCCATGTTATAATGGTGTTACTTCATCAAAAACATAGCTCGAGTTGTGTTTTGTTTCATTCAAGGTCCGTGTATCATTTGTTCTTTTGAATTTCAATTAAGAACGAAAAACAATAAAATGGGAAAACAGTTTGGTATTTCATTATTCTGCTTTAGTCTAAAAAAAAAAAAAAAAAACAGATTTCAACCTCTATTTCCAATATTTAATTTGAAGTTTATTTCAGATAACACCTATTAAAAAACAGTCTCAGTGCCTGTTTCAATTTGGATATTTTATTCTCTCTGGTTTCTATGTAGTTCTGCTGCTAGAAGGACTTGCCTGAAAAATCATTGCAATTTTGAGGACAAACATGTCGTCTTCTTTTATAGCGACGTGTTTACTTCAGCGTGTTAAAAAGTGATTGTTGAACTCCATGATGAGAAGCAAGTAGCAGGGATAAATTTTGTTCAGTTAACACCACAGAACTATAATAAAAATAGTTTTTATTATACATCAGTGGTTGAGCAACAGAACTTCAGAGGCAAATAAACCAAAGAGAATAAAATATGAAAATTAAAATAGGTACCAAGACTTTTTTTAATTGGTGAGGGCCCTAGGTGAACTTAAGTTTGAGGCCTTCACTATAATGCACTTTTTTTTTTTTTTTTTTTTTTTCCTCATTGTTTTTAAGACATGCACATCTCTATTTATTTGAATTATGGTGGGCTGAAAACTTGTCTTATTAGTTTGGTCGCCTACTAGAAAACCAGAACTGAAAGTAGTTTGAGTTTTTTTTGCTAGTACAATTACATTTTTGTTTACATCATTACAGAGTTTTTTTCTTATGATTATTGTTTAAATGTAAACTACTCTCCTTCATTATACGTTATATTGAGAGAAAATCAAATTGCTCTGAGGGAAATTGGTTGGGGGCCCCTCCAGGTTTGGGGGCCCTAAGTGGCCACTTACTTTTGCCTAATGGTAGCGCCGCCTCTGATTTGAAATAAACCTTAAATTAATAGTGGAAATACAGGTCAAAATCTGTAGTTTTTTTTTTTTTTTTTTTGGTTTGACACTAATGAAATAACAAACTTGTTTGTTCTTAGTTGAAATTCAAAAGAACAAATGGTACACAGACCATTTACACATGTTTGAGTAATTATTTTTGAACTATTATTAGTCTGTTTACATTTCCAAAGCTCAAAATGCACTGTTCCAACTCATGATGTCATGAAGCAATAGTTTTCAAGTTAACAGTTACCTTTTACCTTTGATTAAACAGACTGGCAATTCCAAGGCTGAAATCATCCAAATGATTCTAGTAAAAGCGTATGGAGTTTAAAAACAAAATGAAGCACTTCCTGTATCACCACATGACATCACAAGGTGGAACGGTGGAGTGTTTTATGTTTGAGAAAAGAACTCAGGCTAAACATGCGGGATTTGTGTGTTAAACATGTGTGAATGAAACAAAACACAACTCCAGGTCTGTTTGAGATAAGAAATCAACATTATAACATGACTAAAAGTTCACAAGAGTCAATTTTGCGTAATCCTGGACTTTTAAATCCCCATGAACCCATCAACGCTGCGTCAAAATCCTGAAAGCTGTCATCATTAAATTCCCAAAGTTTCAATAACATAGAGACTACAAGTTGAGTAGACAATAATGTGACAAAAAAGTTTCCGGTTCTTACCAAAGTCTTGACGCCGTACTGTTTCTCCACTTTCTCTCGCAGCTGTCTGAAGCAGGCCTCCATCCGGTCGTGAAAGGGCCTCAGCGCCTCTGTCACTTTGTCTCCATGGATACGCACTCCCTCAGCCAGGTGGGGGATCTGGAGAAATGTCATTAAAAGATTAGAGTTGTTTCTGTTCAACAAAAGCAATAAAAATGTGGTTTAGAGACACTGGAATTAAGATAGAGGAGAAACTTTAAATATATGGTTTGTCGAAAAGAAGATATGACCCTCTTATACAACACGCGAAATTTACCAAAATAAAATACCAAAATTTAATCAAACGTTCGTGTAATTTTAGCAACGACGGCCGGATTAAACCAACCAAAATAATACGAACGGTGTTGCCATGGCTTCAATCTCTGTCAGGCAACCCACGCGCTACAAATGGAAGAATAAAACAGCACGATATATGTGATCCTAATGGCTATTCCTTCACCTATGACGCACATAAGGACTCGCTGTTCCTCTTGAGATCTCTACATGCAGCAAGCGTACGGCGCAGCCCAGGACTAACAACAAGAACGTAATGTGAAATTCAATGCAAAGAAACATGCTGAGAGAAGCTCGGCGCTGTCCGTGGTGCCAGATGAAGAGACTAAAAGCTATGGTAAATTACAGACACGTAAGCTTTCAGTGTTGTAAAAGACGACCGATTTCAGGTTTTCGTGGTGAAATGTTACTGCCAGTTAAGGACAAGGTTATAGATGTTTTCTTTCCCATGGCAACAGCAAGAATCCCTGACAAAGATAGAACTTAAAGGGCTCATATTACGCAATTTTCTGATCTGTGTTATAACGTTTTCTTGTCACAAACAGACCTGGAGTTGTTTTGTTTCTTTCACACATGTTTAAACACAGAAATCCAGCATATTTATTAAGGCTGAATTCTTCTCTCAAACTGAAAAAACTCTGTTCCAACTTGTGAACTTGTCATGGTAATACAGGAAGTGCTCCACTGTGTTTTTAAACTCCAAACACCTTCATTAGAATCATTTGGATAATTTTAACCCTGGAATCGTCAATTTCTGCTAAACAAAAGGTAAAAAGGAGCTGTTATTTTGAAAACTACCGCTTCATGACATCACAAGGCGGAACAGAGCATTTTGAGATTTAGAAATGTAGACAGAGTAATAATAAAGAGTTACTCATACATGTGTGAATGAAACAAAACACAACTCAAGGTATGTTTTTGATGAAGTAACAATGAAGTGATGAAGTCTAAAATTGCTAAAAGCTCACAAGAGTCCAGATTTTTGAACATAGGACCTCATTTCCTAGTGAGTGTTGGAGACGTGTGGAGACACTTTTTTTTAAAATATTCCATCCCGTCCTTGTATTTGCAGAGGTCACTGGTGCTAGGACTAGTGCATGTCAATGGCCACAGTTATCCTGCCACTAAAAACAGTCTTACCCACTTAACAAAACACCCAAAGAAAAAAATATTATTACGCCAGACTGTCGATAGAATAATTTTAGAAATAAAAACAATGTTGCATTTGAAAGATTTATGTCTGAGCAGCAGCAGTGAGTTGTACTTCCTGACAGAAAGCTTAGCATTGGCGGACTGATATATGAGAAAATAGTCCCTGAACGTGCGACAATTCATGCGATGCAAGGTTTGTTTTATTTCCAACATTATTCTATCAACACAGACATTTACATCGACAGTCTGGTGTAATAATAGATTTGTTTCGGGTGTTTTGTGGAGTGGGTAAGACTGTTTTTAGTGGCAGGATAACTATGGCCATTGACATGCACTAGTCTAGCACCAGTGACCTCTGCAAATACAAGGACTGGAAGGAATATTTTAAAAAGTGTCTCCAACACTCTGGTTCACTAGAAAATGAGGTCCTATGTCCAAAATTCCGAAGTGTCCTTTTAAACTAGTGCATATGACAGGCTTTCATGTTTTTTTTTTTTTAAATTCTGACTTGGTTTTCTCGGATAGTACATGCGGCAATTTATCGGGAAAAATAAACAAAACACCTCTACCTATGTTGTCAACACTGAAAATTCCACCCAAAATGCAGAGACAATTCACGTTTAACAAAATAAAAGTTCTTATATGTATGTCACATTCGCTTTTAAGTTTTAGAAATTAGACATACTTAATGTTGAGAAGGATAAGACGTTTAAAAGCTCAAAAAGTCAATTCATTAAAGCATGTTAATAGAGCAGGCTTAGGTTTCATCTGAACTCCAGCAGACATTTTACAGTCTCTCTATAGACCGGCCCAGTGTGAGGCGTATGCTATAGCTTTCACTCACTCTGATCTTCTTAACCCTCTGTCCCACGAGGCTTTGCTCTCTCGCTTTCTTCTGAGCCCCTCTGGTCCAGCCGCCCTCCATACAAACCCATAACAACATCTGACACCTCTGACGGGTGAACTACAAGACCCATGATGCAACGCTGTGAAACTACAAACCCCACTCCACTCAATATGTTTACATGCAGCTTTCTACTCCATATGGTCCTCCAGTAAGCCGGGTTAAAAGATTCAGAAAGTCCTTGGATGGATGATTTTTATTAGGGATGGGCATTCGATGAAATTTTCTTAATCGATCGTCGGAAGAATTAACGATCGATTATCGATTAATCATTAACGTGTTTATATTAAAATGATCATCATTATTATTACGATCTGCACTACTAACCTGCATACATAAATTCAACTTTACGACATATAAACCGTAACGACTCTAGAGCCACATCAATCCGTTTGAGATTATAATGTGTTTAACGCAGTTTTGCGCAACTCTCACAAAAACGAAACTTAAAACCGCATCGCTAATTTGCAGAAACTAAGTGAAGATAAAACTACAGCTCTTGTGTCGCTGATGCGGTTCAACTTCTGTTGGATTAAAAGACATGATTCAGTGGAATACAGGTTAGTGTGACCAGATTTGTGTTTGTCAAAACCAGGACACCGTACGGGAGGTGGGAGGTGGGGACTCGTCATTGACATTGTGCGACTCTCACCTGGTAAAACTTTTTCCCACTGGACACCGAAACATATGTGCTGCTTTGTTCACTGTGCACATGGACTCACACTTGTCCCGAACGCAACGGAAAGCGTGGAATTTCTTGTACAAGTCATCGTTAAATACACATTTGCGTTGCAGACTGACCGAGACTGTTTGTGTCTCACTCCTTCTGAGTGCAGAGCTACATGTACGGACCCCTGTTTGGTCACACTACACACAGCAACCTACATTCGGTTTGTCGATTAAAATGAACGTAATCGATGAAATTCTTAATGATCAATTATCGATTAATCATGCCCATCCCTAATTTTTATATCAGATAGTAAATATTTTCAAGGTATTTCACAACTACTATAGAATGTATATATCCCTGACTATTTGAAACTACTTTCATACCTCAGAATTGAATTTAGAGAAACCTAAAATAATGCAAAAAGTACACTCCCACTTCTCTGTGATTGGTTAAAGCTGGCTGTCAATCACTCAGAGCTCTATTAAACAGAAATCTCACAAAAATAACACGGTTGTGAGTCTGGTCAATCAAACGTAATCGTCCAATCTGATTTCTTTACTTCTGTGACACATGTGAATCAAAATCACACTTCCATTACCTCCAATCAGTTTAGTGCATCGCTCACTGATTCTGTGGAAATTCACCGTGTTTTAAAGGCCCTGTCCACACTAGTACGTATTTGAGTCGTTTTCGTTGTGGATGCAGTGTTCATCTACACTAATCCGATTGAAAACGGCTCCAGAGACAGAACAATCTGGTGCAGCCAGCTCCCACGAATTCATCTGAGTACAGATCTGATCCGGCACTGTGTGGACGCCTGAAAACGCTGATACGCTGATGTAGTTCTATGCGCCGTGAAGTACCTAATTCAGAGCCAAAATGCTAAGAAGCTAGATTATATGTCCATTCATATAAACAGTCTATGTGTATGATCGTACACATAGACCGTATAATCTTAAAAGTTTAACATGAAGTTTAACAATCTTAAAGTTTAACATGAATCATCTCCAACGCAAGAGAAGCACAGAACAGACTCACCATCAGCAGAACACCCCTCTGTCACAGAAAGAACACATATAATCCACTGAGTTGGATCCTTCAGTCCGACAAAAGGTGAACCGCATCAGCGCACAATAGCGAGCTGTTTTTTTGAGTGCTTAGTTTATGCAAATTAGCCATGCGGTTTTAAGTTTGTGTAAAACGTAAACAAATATGCTCAAAGCTGTGAGGATAGGGAAGGCTTGCGGACACAGAAACAAGTCAGTCCTCACTCAGACTGGATTTTAAGACGAGCACGGCGGGTCAAAGTAATAACTGAACCTCGTTGTTGATCCACGAAAGAAAAAGTTTTTACATTTGTCCTTTCTCTGGGCTCAAAATCAGCTGCTGCAACTTCAGACTTCCTTGTTTTTACCGCTCATGTGGCGACGTGACACCAGCCTATCACGGGACTAGCGTTTCAGGTGGTTTTGCGTTACTGTGTGGACAAGAAAGGCTTTGATTGCGGACACAGAAACGACGTGTCTGGACGCAGATCGTTTCCGATACTGTGACACGGTGATACGTGGATTTGTTTCAGTGTAAACGGGGTCTCAGTCCCTTATCTCATTTTTTCCCTTTCTTTTTTCCTTGTAATCTGCCGTATTTGTTTTGATACAGACAGACCGTGCTTGTCCCTGATTGGCTCATCCACCTGTCAATCACACCCATCTGAAAACACGATTCACCGCTGATCAGACTCACATCTTTGTTAAGTACAGAAGTCTGTATTTTGGATTGCAGACAAACTTTAGTCTCTCAGCACCACAAACTTGAAATGACTAAACTTTTATGAGACGGACCTTATAATTAAAAAGTATAATTTTATTTATAAAGAAAACATTCGGTACAGGCCAATTATAATTAGACTTAGACAACAATTAGACAAACGTTAGTGATCCACAAGAGAAATTATTTGGATGCAGCAGCTCGCACATCACAACATAATATAATGCAAAAAGCAACAATATAAACGGTAATAATACATTCTAAATTAGTAGCAAAAATAGCAAGAGACTGGTGTCAAATAAGGCATAATTATATAAATATATGTATATGTAC